ATCATGCATGCTTCGAAAACCGTGTGATCTGGTTCATAACAAAGCCTTTCACTTATTCGTCTCCTCTCAAACTCTTAAACCTCCCACGTAGCAGCTGTCTTTAATGTGAATGACTGACACAGATTTCTGTTCCAAATCCTGTCTAAATGATCTCACAGGATTCGTGTGCCATTAGGGCTTATTTCAGTAATCAAGCTGCCCATCATCACTAACATAAACAGAACTGTATCAGCGGACCATCTGTGTTTGTCTCTGCAACCCATCTCTCTCTGGACTGGCCTCACAGTCTCTCTTGTTATTTTTTCTATATGTCATGTTTTCTCTCTTAGTCCCAGTGTGTCTCTCTCTGGCTGGAGGGTTTGTGGTGATCCTATTGTTTAAAGAGCATGAATTTCATTGGGCTATTAGCAACATTAAGTCTTCAAATCATCTCCGTGCCAGCTACCGATTTACTCCCACTTACATGGTCCAGCCTGTCTGATATATTTAGACCACTAATCATTATTGTATATTATTAAATGCTAATAGCTGTGAGTGGCATTTCACGACTGGGAGTTTTAACTCAGACTTCAAACAAGAGCTGCTGGTGGAGCTGCAGAACCTCTCATGATAAACTGCATCTGAATTTAAAAATAATCCATCTGCACCTTAATCACTTAGTCAACAGTGGTGATGGTGATGAATTGATCATGTATGCAGCTTAAATTATTACACTTTTAACAGACAGTTTATAGCATGGCATCATATTTTTGAGAAACATTTCCAGTCTAAATAAAGAAATGTCATAAAATGCAATGACTCACTCCTTTAAATGCCCAATAAACAAGAGGAAACGTTTTAACCAGAAAATATAGATTCTTAACTAAGAGTTATGCTAATATATAAAAGAAATTTCACATTTGAAGATTTAATAATAAAACTGGAGTTAAACTGAGGAGTTTGAGACAAACATCTGTGTGAACAAGATGATTCCAGTTCATCAGCAGTATCTGTGATTAGCTCAGCCCTTACCTCCTGTCCTCGGAGGACCAATATTATCCAAAGTCGTCAGTCTTGACAGAAAAAAAGGATTAATTCCAAATGAAAGACAGTTTAAGCATTACCCAGAGAGAAAATGGGTAGTGACTCAGGGAAGGGTTTCCAGTTAGGCGCTGTGGAGATTGCCATGAGGCCACTGTGTACATTCCTACAGCTAAGAATAGTATCCTGGGCCACTGTGACTCCAGCCGGGCCTCTCATGTGACACAGCGCTGTTTGGTACCCAGCTGCCAGCTTAACAACTCAGCCAGGGTCCAGTGGAGGGAGTGTTTACAATAGCCGCAGGAAGGGGAACCATCACAGGGTCCTGACTCAGGCATTGTTCCCACCCAGGCTGGTCTTTCATCAAAGTGTCCCCGAGCTGCTAACCCTTGTCCGTCTTCTAGTGCCGTCCAAGTTCATCTCTCCTCCTCCTCTTCCCCCTTCCTCATGTGTGTAACCCAGGATGTAGTCAAATATAGAACGGTGCTGATGGGCCACTTTGATCAGGAGAAACAGCTGTAAGAACTGGGCTCAGTTTTCAAGGTGTGGTGGTGTTTCTGTTAGTGTCCATGAACGTGCACAACTGGACGTGACCACTGTTGCTATTAATCACCCGTTTGACAGTTAACTCGTTGCACTGTGTGTGTCAAATCATCAAGAAGTATTTGCCATACCTTTAAGAGTTGAGCAACCAAACGTGGAGGTCCACATTTATATCAGATATCATGAGGTCATCATGTTGCCAAGCAACCACTTAGCTTGGCAACATGATGGCTAAAATGACCCATTACTGGCATTTATGCACCTATAACACCTTATAAAAGTGTCATATAATTTTTATTTTGCATCAGTAACATCTAATTTCTATCCAAAAAGGCTGAATTATGTGTAATGATGTCATTATGTTGCCTGACAACCACATAGCAACTGGCCAAAATGACCTATTATTAGCAGTTATGCATCTCTAAGAGGTTATAAAAGTGTCATATAATTTTTTATTTTGCATCAGTAACATCTAATTTCTATTCCCAAAGTTTAATTATGTATAAAATGATGCATAAAAAATGCAGGCTACCTGTTTTGTAGCATTTGTGCACCTGTAGCATCTTATGAAACCATTCTTTTCTCTTTTTTATTTCACGACAGTACATCGTGAAATAAATCCACAAAAGCTAAACTACATGCCTGGCAATCACCTAGCAACGGGCTACAGTCACTCATTTTTAGTACATAAACATCTGCCAGTCTATTTTTAAAAAAAACTTCTCTCTTTGTGATTAAGTATATCACTTTAAAAACAACACAAACGGACCAAAACTTACTAGCATGAGCATGTACTAGTTTCAAAAATACATGCAAATTTGAAAGCACAGAATACATTACAGAGAAATGTTTTGTTGATAGCGATCGGTGACTCTGAAAGTTGAGGCCTGGACCTCAGTGCTTTAGCAGGTGGAGAGTTAACTGTGAGGCTCATAAAATTACAAGCAGTTTATTAGTTAATCACTTTTTGTGACCCCCCTGTGTGTACTCAGAGTGTGAATGAGTCTTACAATAATAAGTACTGTCTCTAGAGGAATTACATGATCAGTACATAAAGAATAGCTGTTGTAAGAAATTTTTAAAAATTGATTATTAGACATTACTTAATAAAACAAGCTGCTGCTGCTGTGAGAAGACATCATGTGAGATGGTTTGAAATGTAAATAAAGTTGACAGTTTGTTTCCTTTCTTTTTTATTATTTACATTAAACACAAGCAGAGGAGAAAAGCTCAGGGTTACAGAAGGTCTGATCGCTGTTCACAAAGCAAAAATGTCCTCTGCAGCTCACAGTAGTAATCAGGTTTGGTATTTATTTTAAGGTGAGTCATTGTTTGCTGTTGCATGGCTACAGCAGATCATACTTAGGCTTCCCCTTGCTGTTAAATTCCACTTTAGCCCCTGCACATTAAAGCCTTGAGACTATGAAGAACTTTAACAGTATATTTTTAAAAATGTATATTTAATTCAAAAAAAGAAACACTATTCTTCCACCTCTATGCTTCTAGTTTAGAAACAATGTGTGTTTTCACAGCTTTTATATCATACTGTAGCCTTAGATGAGGTGTTTCACAAGTAGACAACGCTTTATTTTAAGAGATCACACGCCAGAGAAGGCTGGGGAACACGGTTACAGAAATAGGGTGCAAAGATTTCCTTTCTTTCAGAGATCAGATTGAGCCTCTTGTGATATTTTTTCAAATCAGTCTTGTGTGACTTTACAGAGACATTTAAACCTTCTTTTCCTTATATTATCTGTGAGCTATAATGTCATGAGGATTCTCAATCTGCAGCCCCTTTCTGCACTCCATGGAGTTATGCCGGTTGTCTGCCAGGCAGATGAATTACTGTCATGTTTGCTTAGCGGCATATGACAGGGAACTGAAGTTACATGCAGGCAGATTGAATGACATAGCTGCAAGAAAGTGAGCTGTCAGCAAGCCAGATATCATGACCCAAGAGCAGAAGCCACTTTGGTGTTGCAGTGAAATCTTACACTGAGTCACCAGTCACTAAGTGATAGTTTCATGCTTACACGTCGGATTCCTGTAAGAACAAAACTGCAAATCAAACAAAAAACAACTCGTAAAAGCTCCAGGTCAGGGTGCAGGGACAGATTTATGATTTTCTATTTTTAGTTAATCATACCGGCTTCAAACCTGAATTTTGCTTTTGTTTCCACTGCTGAACAATGATCACATTAACCACTCACTGAAATATTAAAATATACTGTATATATTTTCTGACCAGAATAAAGATATGATAACAGACCTACTGGGACAGAAGATATATTATCACACTAAAGGATTTTTTATGGTGTGAAAATGAGAGAAAGACAGATTGGGGGACCTAAAAAATGAATGAATTTCTTTTCCAAAAAATTAGCTCAGGTGATAGAAGTGTTTTAACAGATCATTTTGGCTTTGCACTTTTATGTCTGACAGGAAAACGATGGCAGCATTTCCAGCTACTTAAGCTAATTATAATGCCCTGTGTTAAAGATGACTGTGTAGTTAAATCCACATCAATCCAGAGTTGTGCAGATGCAAACCTGACAATCATGTAGAACAAGAGATTAGAGGCGATAATTTATGTTTTTAACCACATTTATCTGCAAGTATTGCACTGTGTTTTATTGTATTGTCTTTCTGTGAAGCTAGAGTTGCTCATAAGTGGGACAATGATACTATGACAACATTTTGCCGACGGTTTGTGAATCTGAATGTTAGATACACAGGGGAGACTTGTAGAAAAAAGTGTTATGAGTACTGAAATTGGTTAGAAATAATATAAACATACATGTACCAGACCATTTATCAACACCAATAGTATCATTATATGCTACATCAAAATATCTAAGTTTGTGTGTATTATCATAAATTTTATATTTCAATAATGTCTCAGTTAAATAATAACCTCTTTTGACCCCCCCCCCACCCCCACTCCCAGCTAATACAGTGGAAGCAATAATAAGATACTGCTGTATCAATATTTTGACCCACACTAAATGCAAATACTCACAGTATGAGTGTGAAAAATATGCTCATAGCCTACAGACATATATAATATTTACTCCAGTTTGAGCAGGATTCCAAAAACATGCAGAGCCCTGCAGGCTTAGACTATTCCTTAGACTTTTCCCTCAAACAAAAGAATATCTTTTCTGCATCATCAGTGATATGGACAGGCTTTGGGAGATGGAGGCCCATCCCAAAATGTCATTGGGATGCCCCCCCAGTCAAAGTGGCCCATCCAGTCAGTCAGACCGGCCCTGACTTTTTGGCTTCACGTCTTCATTAGGATTAAAACAGGCTGCCGTGGGGGTGGAAAATGCTCCACATGTGCTAAAAATACTAAAAATAATGCAGTAATAATCGCACTTTAAGATAAACCATTGATTTGGACGGCGCTAACATCATCTCTCATTTGAAACTCCGCTCTCTCCTGCTCCATTCAGGTCCACGGTCACTCCTCAACAGGAAGTGACGAAAGTAGCCACGAGCGTGACGAACGGCTCTTTCGAAAATACAACAAGGAAGTTACGGTTTATTGTGAAGGAAAATAACCGCTGGAGAAAAAAAAATTCTCCTCAAACCGGGGGTCCCTTCGCTCGGTTGCTGGGTGTCCGGGGGGGGCGAGGTCACCGTGGACTTTCCCGAGAGCCCGTTTCCGATCGTCTCGAGGAATTCTACTTGTAGCCAGCTAGCTAGCTAGCGATGAACACGGACGTGGAATTTCACATCAGGCAGAATTACCCGTGGAACAAGCTCCCAGCTAACGTCAAACAGGTACCGACTTTTAACGTTTCCTGTGGGCACGGAGAGAGGGGGGACACCGCAAGGGGAACCTGTCAATGTCACCGGGGCTGCTCTCTGTCATACTGGCAGCTGTCAGTGTCGCACTGCTCGCTCCCCGTCCTCTGCAGGGCTTCACCATCCAGCCGGAGCCATAACTGACCATCATTACACTCCAGCTACTGAAGCCACACTGGCATCACATGACAGTTTGTTTGATTGGGTGGGGGTGGGGGCACCACATGATTTTAGAGCGTGTATGTCACCTGCAGATACGGCTTTTACGTATTTGTGCCTGGTGCATTTAATGCTATTGAAATGTGCTGTTACAGTTAGTCAGTCAAATGCATGATCCCCCCTTCTCTTCTTGTGCCACTACGCCAACATGTCTCGGTGAAGAGGAGGTGGGTGGATGAGCAGTTTGAGCTGCTGCATCCTCATACACCCTCTGAAAAGTTGGATTACTCATCAGAAACAGTGAGACTCCAGGGGCCCCTGGTGTACACATCTGGCCTGATGTGCACAATATAACAAGTTTTCTCTCGCTCAAAACAGCTTTAGATACAATATTAAGCTTATGCCCCAATTCCATTGTTAATTTTCCTTTAATTTAAAATATCTCTTCTCATTTTTTGTGTGAGTTATCATGAATCCAGGCGCTACTGTGGCTCTAAAACCTGTGGATTACATCATGACACATAAACTGTCCATTGAGGATCAGACAGGTCATTGCTGATATCTGATCTACTTAAGGTCATTATTGGTCCAATACCAACCGGTGTATTGGCCTTGTAAGTAACTAAAAGTATGCTGTAGGTATGTGCTACCAAAATCAAGCACAAGACGATGCTTCTTGCTTTATTACCTACCTCTTAGCCTGTGTCAAATAATTCAAATCCCTCATTGCATCTTTGCAGTTAATGTGGTTTCACACGTTTCTCAACACATATGACATCACATCTAATAGCAGGAAATATTCCAGTATGGAAAAATATTTCACAGACAGCTGGAGAACAGGAGGTTTAAAAGAGGCCCTGTTTGGTTTCATCCCCTGACACATTAATGTGGTTGACCTGGGCATTTTCCTTTCTCTGCAGAGTTTGGGGAACTCTCAGCGCGAGTATGAGAAGCAAGTGCTCCTGTACAGCATCCGCAACCAGCTGCGATTCCGCAATAACCTAGGTGAGCAATATTATCCCCCCCCCCACACACACACACACACACACACAGACACATTCAGCAGGGGTAAACATACAAACATACAGGGTGAGCTACATGATGTTTGAGTGTTAGATTAATAGACAGACAGTGGTTTGTGGCAGGATAAATATAACCCCACCAGAGAGTGCTTGATGATGGGCAAAAACTTTCTCACCATATCACCTTGCAGAGAAACATACCCCAGTGCTATTTTATCATTGCAGTAAGACTTCTGATTTCATAAAAGTCTATGGGAAAACAGCACTAAGGTTCATGGCTCTGTGACCTCAGTAAACACTTCTCTGATGGAACTGTAATCCCACTCTCTGCTTTCAAAGCAAATTCAGCAAAACACAAAGTTTATTTTGTAAATTATGGTGATAATTAGGAGGATAAACCAGGGCACGGCTATTGGATCCTGCTTGTCAGTTAGCGAGTGAGCATGCAGTGTCCTCTGGTTCCCATTTAGAACTAACTTTCACTCATTATGTCAGGTTTCAAAAAAGTTACAGCAAAAACAGGAAGCACACGGGTTAAAAATGGGACTCCACTCACCTGTGGGTGATGTCTTATTAGCTCTGTCCATGTTTTGTTCTGCTTTTGGTGTTGATCATAGGATTATCCTTCATATTTGACCCGAAAAGGTAATATACAACTGAAAATACTTGTACTGTTAATAATCATACAGTGGCTAAACATGTGTATGTACCTGTATAATAAAGTGCATTATGTATTACATCGAATCACTTTAGATGTGATGTTGATGTAGAGAGATCGTTTCTGTATGTACACTCTGACTGCTGTTTGTTTTCTGAGCAGTGCGCCACGTGAGGAAGGATGAGCGCAAATATTATGAGGAGCTTCTGAAGTACAGCCGGGACCACCTGATGCTGTACCCCTACCACCTGTCTGACATCATGGTCAAAGGGCTACGAGTCACCCCGTTCTCGTATTACATAGGAATCATGGAGGTAAGCAACTCATGCTGCGTTGAAGAGTGCAATACCAGAGCATTAACTTTGCTCCCATTATCATAATCTCTGTGAACAGCCTCTCGTATACCTGAACATCTGTCGTTCTGTCAGTTCCCGTTGGTTTTAGAACGATGGGGCAGGTAAACCCAGAGGAACAGAGCAGACATACTTATTGTTCAACGGCAAAGGTTTTCTAATTGACTGGAAACATGCAGTCTCTGTTCATTTAAAATGAACAATGTCTTCAGTTTTTGGCATCCCTGGGAATGAATGCAGGAACTGCAGGGACAAAACAAGGACTCCAAAAGACCAATACAAGTAGAGGGATCTGAGCTTTTCACAGCTCCCAGCTGTTTAGTTCAGTGTGCTTTTGTTGCATGAATAGTACGAGTATACGGCATTGTTTGGTACACCTGAGTAGATGTGCTGGATTATTATGGTCACCTTGCATAAAGGATAAATGGGTGTATTGTCATTGGTTAGAATGATTGTGTGTTTGTTCATTTTTAACCTAAAAGGTAAGATTAAGGACGTCATAAGACATTGTGTAGCTTTAGGGAGGAATATGCTATGTTTCCTATGTTCCCCAGATCTGTCATCAGTCAGGCACTAGGTGTCAGTCAGCGTCTAGTAAAGGCTCATCTACCAGCTCAGGGCCATGCACAGGATTGATCCCAGGGCAAACACACCCGGGAAAAATCTTTGCTGTTTGCTCTGCAGTCAGTCTGAGCTTTGCCTGCACGACAGCTCAAACTCACTGATAAAGCAGAGAGAACCGGTCTGTCAGGGAGAAGGGTTCTCCTTGACTTTTGGCATTTTCATTTAGATTGCAAAGACTGAGCTCTTGTGTTCATGGGACTGGAGATGGAAAATAATGCATTTGTAATTGAATTACTTCAATTTTGTGGCTGACTACATAGTTGGTGTAATTCCTTTATACAGCCTGCTCTCAGATGTATTTCCATTACCACAACTCTGTGTGCAGATACCAACTGTCACATTCGATTGTTCCACATTTAGTGTACTTCCCATTTCATAGGACAGATGTGGCTAATGTTCTTTTACCTAACCTATAAATACACATAAAGGAACAGCATTTATTTTTCAGCTCACTGAGAGGGGTTTCACCCACTTTCTGCTGCACGCTAAACCAAACTTGACTGAGCTTTAGTTGTGACCACTAAATTGCCAAAGGCTATGTCATATTCTGATAATCCATCTTAAGCACTTAATGAAAACTTGGAGTCGAAATTAGCACGGCTGCTCAGATCTGCTAATCCTGTTATTAATCAGAGACAGGGGACATAGAAAGGGGAGAACAAAATTAGTTTAATTCTTCTTTTTTTCTCCTTTCTCCTCTTTTTTTCTTTCCACCTCCAGGATATTATGAACAGTGAGAAGAGTTACGACTCTTTGCCCAACTTCACTGCAGCTGACTGTGAGTTATTTTTCTTCTCTTCTACGCTTATAAAATGGCTTGACTGTCTCTGGCTCCCCAACTTTCCCAGTTCTTGTTTAATTTTTTTTCTTGTTGATTGTTTATTTTTGTTATTGAATGGTTATTAAAGGATCCAGAGTTTAGGAAGATTAGGTGTGAGAACAAGAGTCAGGAGCTCACTAGAGAGGCCTTTCAAACCTCTTTACAGATCTTTTTCGGTTGCGTGGCTTTTCTGTGTTATTCTTGGTGCCTATCACTTCCTTTGTACTTGTGTTACCTGCACCAAAACTGATCTCTCATTAATTTCTAAGATGATTGACAGAAAGTTATTCATTAGCTATTTTGATATTAAGTTAGTCGTGTAAGTAATTTCTTCTGGCAAACATTCATTTGTTTCGGCATTTCAGCATGTCCTGATCTCCCCCCCCCC